GTCTAAGCATAAAGGAGTAAGCAAAAAGGGTATGAATGAAATGGCTACCGACACATATTTCCCATCTTTAGGTGGAACATTACTAGAGGATCCGGTAGACAACACTAAAGTTTTCGATCCAATGACCCAAGTTTATCGAGACTGTCTATTTAATAAGGAAGTATTCCATGCCAAGAATGTAGGTATCCGGTCAAAGGATCATATATTATCTTTGGTCGAATCAGAAAAGAAGGCTCTATGCCCAATAGATACTAAGCGCTGGATCCTATCAGATGGAATTACTTCTTTGCCATATTACCATTGGCGTAATAAAGTTTATAAAAATATGGTGAAGGATAGTATACCCCATGAAGAGGCCGAAAAAAGAGCCATAAGAGCCAAGCTCCCAGAGAAGTATCAAAACAAATGTACGTCTCACATATCTAGCTCACTAGCATAAGTTAGACAAGTGAAACAGAACATATCTATACAAACAGATAGGCAGATTACTGTGCATACATAGTTAATATTTTTTTTCTGCCGAAATAAATATTCAGTTAATTTTTCTGGATATAGAAAATGCCTTTTAAAAAATATCACACAGATTTGGAAAATATATATGCTGTTGAAAAGCTCAAAAAGTCTATTATGGTGTTAGAACATGATGTAACTAAAATACATCAAAATCTTAAAAGAATTGCTCTAGAAATATATTACCTATATGAGTCTATGTCACTTGAAGAAGAAATTCGGAAATGAGAAGGAGAAACCTAGAAGGAATCTAACCCGAGCAGTCTGATCTAACTAATTCAGAGCGGTAACAGTACATTTGTGCTTATAATTTTACTAACCTATTTTTTTCTATCCAAATCGTCGCGATTGCCAGTAGATTGAATGATCTCTGTTCATACTAAATAATTCATAGTTAATAATAGTAATAAAAAACTTATCGATTTTCAAGCAGGATAACAAATGATGAAATTTCTAGTGAAAATCCGGGTATTGCTTTCTCCTGGACATATCTATACTATAAAAAATAGGCCAGTATAATTTTTTGCTCAAGACTCTTTAGCTATAAACATAAGGCAGTATGTATACGACTCCTATCGAAGCTCTTGCAGTTAATATTCTCAAAAGGACAAATGTTCTTCCTGAGAATACTGTTTTTCCGGAAGTAGACCCATGTTTGTTATGCGGAGAAGGTCTTTATTTACCTCAGGAATTCCTACCATTTAAAGAATTCACCTTAGCTTCGTGTGGGCATATCTATCACCAAAAATGTCTTGAAAAACATCTAGTGAGTGGAGAGGCGATTTGTCCGAATAAGAAGTGCAACAAAGTTATCGAAACTTTTCTTTCTCCAGAACCCCTTAAGGGATCACAAGACAAACCTACAACCTCGATTGCGGAAGACACTACCACTAAACAAGTAGACTCTGAAAATCCAACTCCCATAGGTGAGGATGCTGATGCAAATTATATGAACGAACTGGGATTATTAGATGGAGAGGATTGTTCGTCCAAGACTACTGAGGTCGCTAAAGAAACTTCTGACCAGGCAACCAGCCCTATTGAGGGATCAACTCTAGTAGAACAGGACCTGAATGATGCACAGAAAAAACGTTCTAGGGAGGATTCTGAAGGAATCAAATCGGGTGAATCAACTGAAAAATTATCTAGCAAGAAAGCTAAAAAGACCGGTGAGAAAAAAGTATCAAGTATGCTAAAAAATTTTATCAAAGAGTTAATATCTGACGTGGAACCTATTCCCAGTGGAAGCTTGGAAGAAACAAATGATATGGCTCTCAATACCAGGGGTATTTTTTTGCAACTCTCCGATAAGATAGATAGTGCCGAATCAAAAAATAAAGAAGCATCTCGTACCCTTATTTCCAGCTATTTTGATTTTGGGGAAGCTTTATTTAATCGATATAAGGAGTTAAAACCTACCTACGGCAAAGAAGGAGCTCGAGCTTTGGTCAAAAGTGAGGTTAGAAAGGAAATTTCTAAGACAAAACTCTCTGAAGATGCTTTGCGGAAAAGGATGGAAAGAGCCCGGAAAATGCATAGAATTTTTAATACTATAGGTAAAGAAAAAATAGTGCATATTGTATTTACCCCTCCGGGACTTATCTTAAATCTAACTGGAGATGATACAGATTATGTGATTGCTGAAGTTTTAAAGCACAATACTGCGCTATAAATTACTGCGCCCTTGTGACATGGTGTCCAGGCTCGGCAGTTAGAAAAATAGTATTTGCATTTCAAACATATGATAATAAAAAAGTATCGAATTGTTTTCTTACCACAATAAAATTTTTGTTTTATATGGTGCGGGGTTTTAGCCTTACGAGGTTTGTTTGTAAACAGACCACAAACACAAGTGCCACGCATTACAGGTTTGTACGTATAATAAAAAATAGCCACGTTACATTTTTTCTGTCAATTTACAATCGCGTAAAAAAATAAAAAATAGTAGGGTCACCGACCCCTTCTTTATTTATTAAAAATTGTTGCCGAACAACAATTTATAAAATACAAATAAAAAAAAAATATTTTTTTATATTATTCAATCTCGCCCCGATCATATCTTTCCTGATCACTACAATCAGCATCACCAGCACCAAACCACATATAATTGTCTAAATCATGCTCCTTGTCGGGATCATAGTCCGGATCATCTAAATTAATGCACAGAATTAAATCATTTTATTTTTCGACTAAAAATACGTATAAGAAAGTAGAATTTTACTTACCATATCTGTTTCTTCTATTTCTGCGTTGACGATTGGAATTAAATGTTCTTTGTCTAAATCTTGGGTTGGGTGGCGTTGAGGTGGCAAAATAGATGGTTTTGGGAGTATTACTATTATTAGTCCTGGGGGTGGTGGTGCTATCGTTAATCTTGGGGGTGGTGGTATCGTTGGTCTTGGGGGTGGTGCTATTATTAGTGCTCATTTTTCGTACCTAAATACAAGAAAATTCATAGTAAGTAAAAATTCATAGTCTCCGTTAAATAGCAAATTACTTAAAACTTAATTACGGGCAAGTGGACCAAGTAAAAATATATGAGCAAAAAATAACGTTATTGCTAACTTATCTTGTAGGCGGGAGCTTGCTTTTTATACCTCTATTC